GCAAGTCTTGTGTTTGGGTGTTTCTGGAATGCAGTGGTTAGTGCAAAAGTGGTGCAATGAAGCACCAGCAGTGAACTGGTGTCAGGGTCATGGACACCCAAGACTCACTGATGAAAGCTTACAATGTGCACAAACTGCAGTATGGAGCAGATTAAGAAGTTTGCTTTGTCTGATGAGTCACAATTTCTTTTAGATCAGGTGGACGGCCGGGTGCTTGTGTCGTTTATCTAGTGAAGAGATGGCAGCAGGATGCACTATGGGAAGAAGGCAGGGTGGTGAAGGCAGTGTTATGATCTTGGAAGTGTTCTACTGAGAAACCTTACGTCCTGGCATTCATGTAGACGTTACATTACAGTACCAACTACCTAAAGATTGATGCAGAGCGCCTACAGCCCTTCATGGCAATGGTGTTCCCTGATGGCAGTGGCCTCTTTCAGCAGAATAATGCTCACTGCCACACTGCACACATTGATCAGAAATGGTTTGAAGAACATGAAGAGTTCAAGATGTTGCCCTGGCCACCAAATTCCCCAGATCTCAATCCGACTGAGCATCTATGGGATGTGCTGAACCAACAGATCCGATCCATGGGACTCCACCTTCACAACATGTAGGACTTAAAGGATCTGCAGCTAATATCCTGGTGCCAGAACCCACAGAACATGTTCAGAGGTCTGTTGGAGTCCATATTCATGCTATTTTGGCAGCACAAGGGAGGCCTACATGATTTTAGGCAGCTGATTTTAATGTTGTAGCTGATCAGTGTAGAAGTAATAATGTTTACAACATAATAATTACTTTATAATATAATAAGTGTACTACTATTATTATTATTACCATATAATATTAGGATTCCGCTTTTAATTTACTGGTTTCTTTTGCTATGTTGATACTACGTTATTATTATTTTACAATGTAGGCTTTGTAGTGTTGGTAGTGCACTACACACTCTTTGTCATTTAACAGTATGTATAGCTCTTGTCCAATTAAAATGCAATATTCTTTTTTACCAAATACAAGTGTCTTTGGCTTATGTAAGAAATAATATTACATAATATTATACAATTAATATCTACATAATCATCATCAACAACAACAGTAGTAGTAACTGCATGAATATTTATATCTAGTGCATTAGGTAGGTAGTTTAAGACCTTTTTAAATGCGATATAGATTTTGAAAAATGTACTGTAAAGGAATATCAATGTGTGTTTTTTAATATATTGCAATTATCTCAGTATGACAATGTTTTTGGTTAGTTTATAATGTCACCATTTCTCCTAATGTAAAAATTGTTTTACATTATTACCTCAAGATTTTATTATTTTGAGAAAATTATTACATCCTTATAGAAATATAACCCTTTGACAACAAACTCCCAAGCATCTTATTATTAGAGACTACTAATGTGTATCATCAGCAAATCAGACGCAATTCTAAAATAAACTTTAAACTGTAAAAATTAGATTTGTCTGGGATTTTTTTCGCATCTCTTTGGTCTCTAAAAATTAAACAGCCACTTAATAAAATGTGATTTAAAAAAAAAAAAAAAAAAATTGAATTGATGAAAAAATTTAATTACTTCATTTCTTTGACTGCTTCATTTCCTTCAAAATAATGTAAGCGACTGAATCAGTTAATATGAATGTAAACCTGTGTCAGACAGACAGTTTCTACAGTGTTTGTGTGCTGACTATCACGAGAGTGAACACTTAATCTACAGCTCCAGTAAAGTCAGGTGCTGTTGTGTCCTGTGTATTACATTACATCAGTAGCCACATTTACATGCACTTTACATGTTTGATTTCAGTCGGACTAAACTATTATTCATCTTTTTAAATGTCAGGCAAATGTCAGAATGAAATTGCACCAGTCCGATAATCAGACCTATATAATACGATTATAGTTTTTCTTTGTTCTGCTTGTACATCATACAAGAAAGAGGTAATGTGCTATACTATATTTAAAACTGCAAACATTGGAAGAAATATGGTGATTATTCCTTAAAAAAAAAGATTTAATAAATGTATTATAATAATAATTATTAATTCTTACCTTGACAAGCACATTCTAATGTACAGTAGTAATATATTTCAGTCAAAATCTCTTGAACTTAAAGGTGCAGCAAATGATTTCTGAGAAACGCTGTTGATATTTGAAATGACCAAAACAAACACGCTCCTACCCAAAAGAATCACACCACTATCTTGATAGCTCCGCCCCCTCAAGAGAAATGCTTGTGAAGTGATGCTCAGAGCAGCTCTAAAGATGAAGTTCATGTGTAGTAGTCATCGTGTGTAGTAGTCAATATTGCGATTTCATTAAGTGTACAGTGCTGCTTTTGATTTATTCATCCAAGATTTGCCCAATTCCGTGACATTTGATGTTATACAGTAAATTCCTTTTTTATGTTTTTGTTTTCCAAAAAATAAACTGAAACTTAAAATATGAAAGAAAATGAACAACTAATCGAAATCATTTCTTTGAGACATTCTTTCAAAATGATTTAAGCAATTGAATTAGTTAATATTAAGGTAAAACTGTCATACAGAGAGTTTCTACAGTGTGTTTGTGTTCTGACTATCATGACAGTAGAGCTGTTGTGTCCTGTGTGTTACATCACATCAGTGTGTGCTGAAAACAGACGAACACAATCACACTGTTCACAGAACAAACAATAACCACAGAGAAACAAACACAGAAAGTCTCACCTCAGCTGTGAGATGTAGGGCAGACACTGCAGGAATCCCTTCACTTCACTCTCTTCATCTGTGCAGTCTCTCAGCTCTACTGGTTTCTTCTCTGTTTGGAGTTTCAGCACTTCTAGGAGGATGGAGCTCTTTCTCTCTGAGAGCTTTATTCTCCAGACTGCAGGAGCTGACTGATAAATTGGCTGTAATGCTGGAAGGACACTCCTGTCTGTTTGAGTCTCATAATTCTTCACATGTGAACACAGATCCAGCAGGAAATCACACTGAGCAGCGTGACGGTTAGTATAGTTTTCACTGAAGGGGAAAGATGTGTAGCTGCACACAGATGTGAACAGTTCAGTGTAATTTTCTCCAGTGGTTTTAAACTCTGATGCTGAAACAATCAGATTCACCAGAAATTTGACAGACATGTTCTTCTCATTGCCAACAATTGAATGAAATCTGTGGAGAAACAAATTTAATGATGACTTTAATTTCCATTTTCTGATAATATGACTTATGGCAAGTGATGGATCACTATTTCCTTTATCTTTAAAAAAAAAAATAATAAGATGAGTATATTTATGACAGTACAAGTGTGGGGGCAACATTTGAAGTTCTACTCATAGTTCTACTCACAGCACTATTGGGATCTACACAACTGCATTTCAATTCAGTTTCTGTGATGGTGTAAAAATCAAGTCTACTCTTTGCAATCACAAAAATATTTGGCTGATCAAATGAAATGAGTGGGACTAAACCGAAGAAACCCAGAGTGCTCTCTTCCCTTCAGGGTCTCACCTTAGCCATGAGATATAGGACAGACACTGTACAACATAAGAAAATATTATTCTTTACGGTTTGTTATGTGAATCAGCATGTTGTGTTGCTCTGTTGGGTTTGTTTTGTGTTTTGTGTTATACCATAGTTGGTCTGAACAACTGATTCTGATTGTCTGGCAGGTATGCATTAAAACAGTTTAATGCACAGGAAGTCTAAGTCAGTTTAATCACCATTCTGTATTAATGCACTGCTTTAAGTGAAGTGAAGTGAAGTGACATGTGGCCAAGTATGGTTACCCATACTAGGAATTAGTGCTCTGCATTCAACCCATCCTAAGTG